GTAAATTTTGAAGGAATGTTGCTACCATCGGATTGCTTAGAGCCTTGTACTGTAGATTTGATCAGATTTGGTTAAGGTCACAATGAGACAACTAGACTGGGAAAAAAAATCCCTTTATCAAATTACAAATTTGAATGTTCTCTAGTGACCTGTAGGGTCATTAGCCTGAAAAACTTTAGTTCTTTACCATCTAGTTGGTTTTAAAACATTAGTGTAAATAACCTGATTTACACCACCAAATACTGAACTGTTTTGGTATTTGTGAAGGCACTAATCCTTAAACTGAAAAAATGTTCATGTGTGTTTGTGCAGCATAGTATTGACGGTGGGAGGATTGGGAGTGGGATTATTCAGGTAGGCCAGATAGCCTGTAGGAAAAGTGATGATTAATATCTGATGCACACCCAGACTTTTTGGTTTTTTGAGACAGGGTCTCAATGTTTAAGGCTGTTTTGAACTCACTGTGTAGCCCAAGCTGGCCTTGAACTCTCAGTGATCCTCCTGCCTCAGCCTCCAGGGTGCCCGGATTACAAGTATGCTCCATCACATGCAGCCTTACACACCTTAACTATATTGTTAGCCACTCCATCACTCCCCTAAAATCCCTTACCTTAAAAAAGTTTGCCTCGAGCAGGGTATGGTGGCCCACTGCTGTAATCCCAGTACTTGGGAGGCTGAGGCAGGAGTATCGTTGTGAATTCGAGACCCACCTGGGCTACAAAGTGAGTTCAAGACCAGCCTGCATAGTGAGACCCTGTCTCAAATAAAAACCTAATCTTTTCAGGCAGACTTATAAAGACAGGGAAAGTGACGTTGCCATCTGACTTATATGAGTTCCATTTATTCAGGGTTGTAACAGAAATTTCAAAAATTAATCAAAAATTTTTTTTCTTCATGGAAGTATAAAAGTACATCCTTCAACACAACTATCAGTATCCAGACTTTGTTTTTTTATTTGCTTTTTGCAGTTTCTGGCACCATTTACATGTTTCCTCATGGCCCCACTCATTGACTCGTCCTTTACCCTTAGGCAGCGTGCCATTTCGCTGGGTACTTTGGTGCAGTGATGAACAACAGGTCAGAGCACGAAGGAGATCCTGACACTGCTTATCCAGCTGCTCTTATCCAGCCCTTTTCCTAGCCATATGTATGTTTCACATATACATTTCTTTGTCCTTCCTGTCATGACAAGGGAGAATCTTCTAAAGTTGACCTAATTAGTAGATATTTTCTAAAGATAAATAGTGTTAAGACAAAACTCTGTGTACTTTTCTGCAAATGACAAGTTTGATGCAAGGAAAATTAAACATAATTGAAATTTGAACATAAAGAGTTGATTATAAGGAGTTCCAGGAGCTGAGACTCTCACTTAGAATTAAACTAAATTACACCATTATTGACATCCTGCCAGATTAACTATCCTCTAATAATAAGACTGATGAGTAAATTAGAGACTGATTCTCCCACATGGCACAAGCACTGTGACCTACCAAGTAAGATATACATAAAGAAGTGTTCAACAACTGACGACTGAAAATACTGTATTGGTCACCTCTGTGAAAGTTGTCTGGGCCACATTCCTTGCAATCACTGTAGCTAAGAGAGCATCCCCCTTCCTTTTTTTTTTTTTTTTTTGCTTTTTCACAGTGCTGGAGATCACATCGAGGGGCACTGTTAAAACTGAACTGAGGGGCTGGGGATTTAGCTCAGCAGCACAGTGCCTTCCTGGCAAGCGCAACATCGTGAGTTTGATTCCCAGTACCGGAAAAAAAAAAAAACAAACTGAATTAAGCACCAGGTGTGGTGGTGTACACCTGCAATCCCAGCACTCAGGAGGCTGAGGCAGGAGGATCATCGTGAGTTCAAGACCAGCCTGGGCTACAGAGTGAGCTCAAGGCCAGCCTGAACTGCATAGCGAGACCCTGTCTCAAAAAAAACCCAAGCAAACAAACAAAAAAACCTACTGAATTATATCCCCAACTCTTTTTATTTTAAGATAAGGTCTTCCTAAGTTTCCTAGGAGGGTCTCAAACTTGCAGTCCTCTTGCATCAGCCTTCCCAGTAGCTGGGATTACAGGTGTACATCACCACACCTGGCTGAATCTACATGTTTATGGGAACCTGAGTTCTCAAAATACGATCCAAAGAATGAGAAAATTACTTAGAACATTGAACCTAACATGTAGTACCAGCAAATTCTGCCCAGTGTATAGAAATGAATGAATTTGATTCATCTTTTATATTGTGTTAGAGGCATTTTTTCCTTGATGAGAAATATTTTAAAATATTATTTTTATCTTAAAACCAGAATATCTACTAAGAAGCATAAAAAATAAATGACTTTAAAGTCAGTACAATTAATGATTTTAAAATTTTTTTCACATTTGGAGAGTTTCAAGCTATTGATTGTACTGTGCTGTAGAATAAATTTATGTGGACATTTTGCAGAAACCTGGTTTAAATTGGGATCTGATTAAGTTAATTTGGGACATTTTAATGATAGACATGGTGGCTCATACCTGTTATCCTAGCTACTCAGGAGGCTGAGGCAAGAGGATTATAAATTTGAAGCCAGCCTGCGCAATTTAGCAAGACACTGTCTCAGAAATTAAAAATAAAAATACAAAAGGCTGAGGCTGTACCTCATTGGTAGAGTACTTGCCTAGATGTACAAGACCCTCAGTTCAGTCCTCAGAACCACAAGAAATAAAACACATTACAAGAGAAATGAAAGAAATTAAAGCACAGTCATTTGCTTTTATGTCACTGTTACCCTATGTATAAAATCACAGTTCCCCTTTTATATAGCCCAGAATCTCACCTGGGCTCAGAGAAGGCTGTTGCGTTTTCTAAATTCCCTCTGCATATGTGTCTATAGCCTTGATACACCTGGGCTACAGTAGATACTGATGACCAAGGTCCTTGGTCATGTTGTTTAGAGACTTTAACTGTAGTGTGGCACAGAGTTCCTTACTCCAAAACAATGGATTGGCTCCAAAAGGAGTCCAAAGGCTACTTTTCTGGTACAGTTTACTCACTATCTTGTGACATCACTCACAGATATACCCAAATCACTGTCAGTTCATCCACACTTTTGTTTTTAATACAAAAGACTAAACTCAGGGCCTTCATGCTAAGCTGCAGCCTCAGCCCTTTTTATTTATTTTTTTGAAACAGAGTCTCACTAAGTTGCCCATGTCATACTCAAACTTGCAATCTCCTGGGGCTAGGGATTTTTCCAGCGGCACAGTGCCTGCCTGGCAAGCACAAGGTCGTGAGTTCGATTCCCGGTACCGGAAAAAAACCAAAAAAAGAAAAAAAAAAAACTTTCAATCTCCTGCCTCAGCCTCCCAAAGCCCTAAGAGTACAGGTAGGTACTACCATAGCCAGCCTATCCATACTTTACTGAGGGATGGGAACGCTGAGGGAGACTGGGGTTAATTACCTAGTTAGCAAGGCTCTCTGCCCCATTCTGCTTCTTTTCCTAGTCTGATGTATGTTTCATCTTCCACCTCCTGTGTCACATTTCCCCAGTTGTCAAGCCCTAGTAAGCCCACACTGTGTTCCCACATAAATCAGTCAGCAAAGCTTGGGACTCCACACTGACAGCCCGTTAGTCTGATGCAGACCGTGGTAGGGCCTTGGTTGATGTAGACTGCAGTGCAGTAAAGAGTTGCTTCAGCTGAACATGTCCTTCCTTTCCTCCCAACAGACATAACCAGTGCCGTGCAATCCAAGCGAAGAAAATCCAAGTAAACAAGCTGGAAAACAATTTGATACTTGTAAATGTGTGTGAATTTTACAAAGAGCAATTTTGAGCTGTGACTTTTTAAAATCTATTTCTGTACAGTCATTTTAATAATGTGGCCCTTTTCCTAGTCCCTGCAACCTATTTTGTAAAGTGCAATGGGGAAAGCAGGGTTGTGGAGCCCTTTTGGTATTGCAAGATGAAGTTCAAGGTTTCTAAAACGTTGCCATGTATTGAGAGGAGCTAATGCCATTATAAATGTTACTAGTTTTCAAATTTCCTAAGCAGCCTAGAGTACAGGGTGAACATTTTTAGATCTTCTAATGAGGTATTGTGCTGTGGAAGTACTGTGTGTGAATAGCAGTAGCAGGGGCAAAAGCAATCTTGTCATTTGAAAATGTTGTAAATAATTTTATTATATAGTGTTTTGGATGTATTTGTTGTAGAAATGGACCAGTGAATAAAGAGAATCTAAGGGTTTGTACAATGTGAAATACTGAGTATGTTAAATAAATGTCATTGTCATAGAACATAAAGGTATGTTATTGGTAAAGGACTATTGGGTGAGCAAGCTCTTTCAACAATAAATGAGTGGACATAGCCTTGTGAATTAGACACATTGCACACCAGCAATGCCTCCTGCCAGATTGAAGAAAATGCATATACTTGCTCACTCAGCTCATTGGCTTTGAAAAAACTAGCCCTTGTTCACTGCTTTCTATATTTGGATCAAAAAAAATTTGGTGCAAATTTCTAATCTCAGTACTCAGGAGGCTGAGGCAGGAGGATTACCATGAGTTGAAAGCCAGCCTGGGCTACATAGCAAGTTCAAGGCCAGCCTACACTACATAGCAAGACTCTGTCTCAAAATAATAATAATAATAATAATTTGAGGCACTGTCCTTGTCTTCGATTGGGCCTAAGCCTTCTGCTTTGTCTCATAGGGCTGGACTTAAACTTCATTCCTTCCCCTCTAGTGGCTGTTCCCCTCGCCAGAACCCAGGGCCTGAGACCAAAACAATGAGTCCGTGACTCTGTTATGCCGTTATTCTCCTCTACATTTTACATGTCTTCCTATGCATCTTACATTATAAGCGTCCATTAAAAATATTTTACTGAGTCACACTGTGTTCCCAGCAAGTTTACCTGACGCACACCAGAATCAAAGCCAGCTTAATAATAATGTTGTCTTGACAGTGCTTGAGATTAGATTGCTTTTGATAGTTTAGCTCAACTTAGGCACAAAACATAATGTGCTTTAAATAGATTTTTATTTGTTTATATTAATTTTTTCTCCCATAAAGGAATAACATTGCAATCTAATCAGAATCCTGTTACACACATACGCAGGCATGCCACATGACCAGGTTGAGGTGGTTGTGTCCTTGAGTCTGTCAGCCCATCATCACGTGGTCAGCCAAAGTCTCTTCATTTCAGCCAGTCTCAACACAAAACCCCCAACAGGGATGCACTCAACTTGTTGGTTCTATTTCGAACTAGGTGGCAAGGTAAGAGGGAGGGTATTAGAAGTGGGCTACGTTGTGTCTGCATTCAGTCCCCTCACACAAAGCTACATGAATCTGGGGGAGGCGTCCAAGAGCTCCGGTGGGTTCCTTGTTGCACCTAAGACATTATGGGTCACAGCAAGTTGATCCTAGGGTTCCAGGCAGGGGGCTGGGGAGCAGGCATATTCCATAACAGCACCAGACTACACTCATACACACAGTACCCTCTAGCACTATTCTGGCAAAGGTTAGTGACACCCAGCTTGAGGGAACAACTCAAGATTTACTGGGAAAAACTGGAAGTCACTATCTGATATAAAAGAAACAGGTCTGTCTAACATCCTTAGTTTTGGCAAAGTGCTGGTAGTAATGACATTAATACTCAAACACTGGTATAGACTTCTCCAGGGTCTCTGAAAACATCAGTTAATACAGACTCTGGTGCCCTCCTGTCTAAGGTTGCATAGGACTTTGTGAATTCTGGTTCCCTCATTTATTCAAGTTCTGTGGTTTAAAAAAAAATCCTGAAGCATGCTCAAGGTGAAAGGCACATACACAGTCAATATAGTATGACAAGGTCTGATGCTTCAGGAGTCAGACTAGCAGGAGACTGAGTAGTGTTGGTTCTTAGAAATCTATACACAATTAAAATATTGCCACACTCAAATGCTACAGAATTTATAGGAAAGTACAAAAAATATGAACCTTGCAATTGATTAGCCAAGTGAGAGACTGGGGGGTTCTAAAACTATAGGAACCTCCAGAAATAGATAAGGCGCAGGGCCTTTAGAAATTTGAGCCAAAATGCCCTATCAGTCTTCTACCAGCAGGATCGTGGGCACTGCCCAGGACTAGCATCGGCCCTGGCTGGTAATGAGAAGTAGCAAGAAGGGTTGGGTTCATTCTAGCTGTTGGAAGTGCTAAAGGCCCTAAGCTGGCTGTGATGTAATCAAGGGGTAGCTGGAAGAATAAAAGTATACAGGTTATAACTACAGAACTTGGGGAGAGGAGCAAGGTTTTCAGTTACTAGGGTTCTAGTAAACTAGCATGGGAGACTTTGCTTATAATGTCAATTTGGCTTATTCCTTGGGATAGGAGACCACAGAAGGGCTGCTTCTACCCCTACCCCAGAAGCTGTGGGGATTCCCCCTCCCTTCCCAAGTGCCATGAGGCCAGGGACTATACAGCCAGGGAGGGCAGCTACCTTTGCCCTAATAGAAATGCAGTTTTTTCCAACCCCAGCTTGGCTGTGAGGCCTGGAAACCTAAAATTGGGGTGAAAGGGAAGACCTGTTAGTATGTAACAAGAAATCTTAAAAATTTCAAGGAAGAAAGCACACTGCTAGAAAAAGACAGCTAGAAAGAGAATGGGAAGCAATTCAGGGCATCCCAAGAGGCTGTTGCTGGTGTCTGAGCCCAAAAATCAGTCAGACCACAAGAAGGGGGAAGTCAGCCTTCCCTGTCCCTAGTTGCTCACCCAAGGATTCAGGTTCCTTGCTTTAGATACTTACTAAAGGAAAAGGGGAGGAGTTCACAGGCACCCATTTCTCCCCAGAAGCCTAGAAAGGAAGAGCCCTATGAGAGAAAGTGAGACCCTTGAAGGTCCTGAACCCTCGTAGGGATTTTTGGGGAACGGAACAGTGGGGCTCCTGGCCTCCTACCCAAGAGTGTTTGTTAGCCATACTAAGCAGGGTGTGAAAGAAAAGGCCAAGGACAAGCTGAGCTGTCAGTCTTGATATGGCTTCACACCACAGCTTATCCTCTTCAGCACCATTCTGCTGCATTCTTACCTTGGGGTGTGTGCCCTTTCCCTACCCCAAAAGCCCTCTGGCCTGTATCTCTCCTAGCCTAGTTCTAGCACCTTGGGCACGTGAACTCTTGGTCTGGATGGCAGAGCCTTTCCCAGCTTCTGCTCCTGGAGTGGCACGTCAAGGTAGGTAGCAAAGTACTAAAGCCCTTCAGACTTGGGAGCCTGCAGCAGGGTAGGTAATTTCAGGAAAAGACATGGGAATAGGATTATAGGAAAGGGAAGCGGGCAGCAGACTCCAGGCTCCAGCCTGAGAGCAGGACTTGCCTTCTGAGCAAGCACAGTGCCAGCTCCCATAATGCCCTGCTCCCTACAGTTTCCTAATCCATCCTGTCTGCATCTCCAGTGGAATGCCTCATTCCCTCGACTCCCTTCACCTTCTCCTTCCAACTCACATCTCACTATCCTCTTTCACATACTTTACCTTTCCAGGCCTAAAAGCAGCCTCTAAAGGAGCCCCGCCCCCTAGGCAGAGAAAAGAGAGAGATAAAAGTAAGACTGAGCCAGACTTCTGAAGGGCGAGGAGAGTGACAGGGGTAGCACAGGTTTTCCCTGGTCTGAGTGGGCTCAGGGTCCCCTCCCTTTTTGCATTTGGGAGGAAACTACTGGGAACAAACAATAAGGAGACAGGAGTGTAATGCCAAACACAGGAAAGAATGAGTCCTGTAAGGTGCAAGTTGCAGGTGAGGAATGAGCCAAGTCAGCGTGGAAGAGGCTCTCAGAAAAGAAGCGTGGGCCAAGGCAAAGGTGAGAGACAGGGCTGGGGCCAGAGAAGGAAGATGGAGTACCAGTAGTGGAAAGGATGGAGGATTAATGCTGTGCGGGAGGAGGAGAGAGCCTGAAGGTGGCAGAGGTGGGTTTAGATGATCAAAGATGGGGAAATCGAGGGAGGCAAGGAAGGGCCATCACTCCACCTCATACTCTTAAGGATGAGGGAGGGTGTGGTATCCAGTCCCAGGCGACTGGCAGCCCCTCAAACAGCACACTGGCCGCTGCACAGGGGACAGACGGGAACTGAGAGAGACGACAGGTTGATGGTGCGGCTGTCCGACACTCAGTAGTTGAACTGGCGCTGGCACGGCTGATAGACAAAGCTGCCCTGGTGCTTGGGCCGGCGTGGACGGCTCTCGCGGGCGCGGTTCTGCCGCTGCACTACCTTGGCGCTCAGCGCATGGCGCTCAGCCCGCTGTCGGGCCCGCTGCAGTCGCCGCGTCTGGCCCGCCTTCTCCAGCAGCACTGCTCGCGCCGGCAGGGGAGCGGCGGCGTGGTGCAGGGCCCGGGGCTCGAGGCGGGCGGGTGCCAACTCTCTGTAACGATGGGGGAGGGGTGTTGGTCAAGGAGGGGCACAACACGGGGACACTGGGATTTCCTTTCCTGTCTTCCACGACCTTGCCTCGGCTCATAGCCATCTCTGCCGAGTAGGGCGCCTGAGGCCCTTCCCCCAAGGCAACCTCGAGACACCCCCCTCGGTTCTAGCCCGGGGACTGTAAACCTTTCCTAGGAGGAGGCTCGGCCCCAGGCCCCACCTCTTGTCCACTTGTCCGCTTCCGCAGCTCCCTCCCCGCGCTGCAGGCGGCCTCCAAGTCCAGTCCAAGCCTCCCAAATGCATGCTCCTGCCCCGCCCCAACCGCGAGGCCACGCCTCTCTCCTCCAAAAGGCCGGCCACAGGCCCCGCCCCGTCCGGAGGACACGCCCCTCCGAGCCCCAGCCGCCTCTCCGGCAGCACTCCCACGGCCTCGCGATCCGGACCCAGCCTTCAAGTCAGCCCTCGGCCCGCTCACCCGTCACTGAGGTCGGTGTCAGGCAGGGCAGCGTCTGGGTGCGGGGAAGGCGGCACAGGCTCTAGCACTATGGTGCTGCCGGTGACGTAAACGGACATACTGGGGTGCTCGATGAGGAGGTCCTCCAGGGGGCTGCTCTGGAGGCGGGCAGGCCCGAGGCCGGGCCCCTCTGCGGTAAAACAGGCGGGAGGGGTAACAAACCAGCTCTCGTCCATCAAGGAGGGCGCGGGCGGAGGGCGGCCCGCGGGGGCAGGGGCGGCCCCGGGGCTGGGGGGAGCCGCGTAGCTGTCTACGCAGCGTGGGAGGGGGAGCCATGCGGAGCGGGCGGAGGAGCACACGTGTACGCACGCACACGCGCGCGCACACACACACACACACACACACACACACACCGGACACAGAGGGTGGGGAGAGAAAGGGCAACGTTAGTTAGACCCGCAGCCCTGCCTGCCGCGCGCACACAGCACCCCCACTCCGCGTCTCCTTGCTGCCCTAGATCCAGGACCTGAAGTGTGGGCCCCAACACCTTGTCGCCAGCAGATGGCCTAGGATTGCAGGGGAAGGGCTCACGTTACCCCACCCCTGGTGTCACAACTGCAGCCCCAGGTGCCTGATAGGTTTGGGGGAACTCCCCAATCCCTAGCAGCTCCCTTCCACTGCTGGGCCGTCTGTCCTGATGGTGACTCCACAGGCCCAGGAGGCAGTCCTGGCCCTAACTCAGGCCTCACCCGGCAGGTCAATGATGAGCCAGCCATCCACTTCATCTTCCTCGGAGACGAAGGCACGGGGGCAGTCGGGGTCTTCAGCGGGCGAAGGGGTGCTGAAGAAGAGGCTGGTGAGGCGCTGGAACATGGTGGGGCAGGGAAGCGGCCTCACGGGGGCGCTCTATGGCAGTGCAAAAACCTGGGAATCAGAGAAGAGTCAGAACCACTAACAAGTCCGCTCTCCCTCTTGAACGGGGACACGGCAGAGGACATCACCCGTAACCCCCAGAACAGTGATAAGTGTACAGTTGGGATGTGTGGTAAAGCTTCTGCGGTGAGTTCTCGGCATTCGTATACAAGCTTTTCTGTCTTCTGTATGAACTTACAAGTCACTTCCTGGTGCCTTAGTTTTCTCATCTGCCAAATGACAATAGTAATAGTACAGTTCTCTGAGGCTTTATGAGAATTAAATGAGCTGGGCCCAGGGATATTGCTCAGTGGTAGAGTAGGTGCTTTGCAACACACACATACACACACACAAATTAAATGAGATTATATTTGTATCCTCCTCTAGGCTCTACCAAGAACTAAATGGGATAAACACTTATAAAGTATATAGACCCGTCTCTGGGCACAAAACAAGTACTCAATAAACTTAATAAATTAGTTATTACAAGGTACTCTTTTTTTTTTTTTTTGGTACTGGGAATCGAACTCAGGACCTGGTGCTTGCCAGGCAGGCGCTGTGCTGCTGAAGCTACATTCCCAGTCCAAGGTACTCCATTTAGGGGCACCAAAGGAAGGTCTTCTGTCAGGGAAGGTCTCCAGAGGATCTAGCATCCAAGATGGACCTTGAGTTCTCTAGGCAGGAAATAAATTTTCCATACTGTGATTATTTATTATGATCATAATAAAATAATACTCAAGTGCCAGGCACTAAGCAACTTCACCTATATTACTTCATCCCATCCTTAAATACAGAGAGTGGGCATGATTACTATCTCTCTTTTACAGGTGAAGAAAAGAAAGAAAAGGTGAGGCTCAGAGAGGTAAGGTAACTTGCCCAAAGTCACAAAGCTAGAAAAGATAAAGGTGGGATTTGAACCAAAGCAGTGAGATTCCAGAGGCACTATCCATAATCTCTATGGTTTACTGCCTTTGGTGGGTGACTGCCCAAACTAGGGATCTTTAACTTGGTGACCAGAGACCATGATCCTTGTGTATTTTTCTGGGAAGAAGGACTTTGTTTTTCATCATGATTTCCCAAATAGTGGTCTTTGTTCCCAGATACTAAGGAGTCCATGGGGTTTAAAAAGCACAGGGTAGTGGAAACCCAACAGAACTGCTACAAATTCACCATGTGACTGAGCAGGCCTCAGGTGTTCTGTCGGATGAGGTATGAATACCCTATCCCACAGCCCTCTCCACCCTAAGCTCCTTTTCCCAGGCTCCTGCTCAAGGGCAGCATCCCTGGCTAGGAGGAAGAAGATCAAGTTGCTTGGTACCAATGAAACAGCAGGTTAGTGGGAGGTGATGATGGAGGGACACAGTTGTCAGATCCCAGGAGCCATTAAGGAGAAACACTGAGGGTGGGAGCAGGACCTAAGTGTTTGGCAAATCCTTCCCTCGGTGAAAATAAGGAAGGAGGCTGCCTGCTCTCGGAATGGACACACTAAAATTGTGGCTAGATCTGTTCCCAGGCCATTTTGCAATCTGAGATTCAGAAAAAGAAAACATAAATCGATCCCAAAACACACAGCTAGTGGTAGGTAGGCCAAGCATTAGGTCACTGAACCCAGTTCACAGTGTACATAGTCAGGAAAGCCTCAACAGATAATCTCCAGGAATATAATAAGGCACAGGGGGCAGGGAGGTGAGATAGGGACCTTGATCCACTCACTGGCCCTCTACCCAGCCACAGAAAAGGCTGGGGTTGCTGGCATTAAGATTCATCATGCATTCACCAGAGCACCCACTGTGTACCAGATCCTGCACTGAACCTCCTCAGTTACAGACAGATTAAGGTAAGGGAGGCTCAGATGAGAAGCTCCCTGCCCTAGGTCACACAAGTCAGTGACAGCCAGGAGTGACAGCAGCACCAGCCAGCCAGTGCCTGCCCCCTCTCTTAACCACTGAGAAAGCCTCTTGGATTTTCTTTCCCACCCCTGCAGCTTCCTGGTTCTCAGATTCCCAGCTCTGCTCCAGAAAGAATCATCCCCTTTAATAACTACAGCAGCTGTGCCCAGAATAACACTCACGCCCTAAGCCATCCCTAGCCCAGCCCCTCCTTGAGCAAACTCTAGGCAGAGATGGGGCTTCAGGTCCAGCCTGCAGGCCCATCCACTTGGAAAATCAGAAACTCTCCTCTGTCCCCTTCTCCTAACTCTATTTTTTTTTTTTTTTCTGGTACCGGGAACCGAACTCATGACCTTGCGCTTGCCAGGCAGGCGCTTTTGCCGCTGAGCTAAATCCCCAGCCCCTCCTAACTCTCTCTAAACAGAGAAAGAGGGCAGCACAACCTCTGCAGTTTCCAGCACTAGCCCAGGTCACATCCCTCCTAGGTGACAAGTCTGGGGGTTGGGAAGATAACAAGGGCCAATAGAGTAAACCTTCACGTCATCCTCTACCATAACCAACCTGCCAGTGACTCACATTTCTATGGTCAAAACAGCTGGAAAGCATTGATTTTATGGGGCTCCAAGGTAGAGTGAGGACAGAGGGGGTCAGAGCCACCAAAGAGGGCCCAGTCTCCATAGACCTAAGAGCCCTGTCAAATTGAGATTGCACTGAGTTCAAGGAAGGGTCCCCAGTGGAAAAAGGGTGTGTAGCTTGTTACTTAGAGAGTGCCTAGTATGTATATGCCCACAGCCAAAGAGCCATCTGTAACTTGACTCTAATTGGCTGTGTGACCTCAGGTAAGCTACTTCCCCTCTCTGGGCCTCAGTTTCCCCTTCCATGAAATGGAGTCTAAGGCCTCCTCATTTGGAACCTGGGTGTGATATCAACTAAGGCTCTGCACACAGGACAGGGATTAGAAGGATGTTATTATGTTAGTCCCTGGAGGGCGGAGCTTGGATATAGAGAGGGGATTCCGCCACCATCTGGTGCTGCCCCAAAGACCTGGAGTCTGAGGCCACCTTGATCCACTGACAACCTCCTCAACCTAGACCTAGCTGGGCTGTGGGCCACTCTCTCTGGTCTCAAGAAGAAAGCAGGGAAACGGAGGCCGGACCCCAGCCCCTAGATGAGCCTAAAATCCACCAAGGTCCCTCAAACTGTGCTTGCCGTCCAGCGTCTCTCACTCTTGGCCCAGCCTGACACAGCGCCCACCAGGTCACCGGAGGACAAGCGACCCAAGCCTGAGGGGCGGTGCTGGCCTTGGTGACGTCTCAATGTCATATGCAAATAGGGCAACGTCAAGCTCAACCGGCGAGCGGCAACCAATCGGGAAAAGGGAACGCAGTCCCAGCGGTCGCCGGCGGATACAGACAAAGGCCCCGACAGTGGGGGCGCAGGGCGTGTCCCGCCGCCCCTCTCAAGCCCCCGGCCCAAACTGGTCCGGACTCACCTGCAGGCGGAGCGGTGCGGCGGGCGGAGGGGTGCGGAGGGCGGGGGTGGCGCTGAGGTAGTTGTGCGCGGGGCGTCCCCGGGTGGCCGGCTGCTCACAGGCCGGGCTGCATCGCGGGAGCCGGGCGGGGAGGCGGCGGGATGCTTGGAGCTGCTGCGCACGCCCGCGGGGCTTGGAGTCTGTGCGGCCGCAGCTGCGGAGCTCACCGCACAAATTGGAACGTTCAAACAGCTGATTGTGACGTCACAAAGGGGCCAGCCCGCCGCGCGTCACGGCCGGCAGAGCGATGGCCAATCCCAGGCCGCGGATTCCCCCAACCCCCACTGGGTGCATGGTTCGCCGGCTGGCGGCTCGGTCCCCAGCCTCCCTCCGGGCGCTGCCGGGAGAGGCAACTGCTGCCAGCTTGGAAACTCCACCCGAGCCACCCGCAAGCCTCTCCACGGAGGCGATCCCCACTCCTTCCAGCGGGATCCCTTTCTTCCTGCGCTCTGTACTTCCGCCGACTCCCGCACCTCTCGTAGTGCACCCCCGCATCTAAGTCCCCATCTGTATCTTTTACTCTGCACCTCTGTTCTCCACACTTTCCATCTCCTTGCTTTTTTCTGATACGTCTCCTTATCCCTACACATTTTCAGTTTTCCCACCCCATTTTCCCTCAGCTTGCGAGGAGCAGGATGTGCCCCTTCCCTAGTTCCGGGGAGCACCTGCCAGTGTGGGGGAGTTGGTGAGGCTGACGGGAAATTTTTGCAAAGAGTAGGACTGGAAGAGGAATTGTTATGGGTTGAATAAACATTGACCTAGAGACCGGTTTGCCTTGCCCTGGAACATTTACACTACTTAATTTCATTCACTTTGCTACTGCAACTGGACAGAAGTGACAGGAAGGAATTATTAGTCCCGTTTGCAAATTGAGTCTCCCAAATCAGCAAGTGAATTCATATTCACGAATACGTTTTTGTTTTGTTTTTGGTTTTTTTTTTTTTTTTTTTTTTGGTTTTTCTCCGGTACCGGGAACCGAACTCACGACCTTGCGCTTGCCAGGCAGGCGCTTTGCCGCTGAG